GCTCCCCCGAGTGTGCACCAAGTGCTAGTTTGCAGGGGTGGGGCTGAGGGAAGCTGCAGGTACCCGGTGCTGAGCTCCTTACAACCGACTTCTTCTCCACGCTGGCTGAACAGAAGGAATGAGAACGCTGTAACGGGTCTCGGTGGGTGGCGGGAGGGAAATGAGCGAGATTAGTTGTAATAAAGGGGTGGTATGGACGAGTTAGGTGGAGAGCTGTTGAGTCGAGCCCTGGCGTGAGTTGTGAGTAGAGGGAAGATCTCCCGTCCCCACTTTGAGGGGTGAGGGTATAGGAAGAGTCGGAGGAGGAGAGAAAGTGCTTGGTAAGTTTTAGGACCAGAAAGAGGGCACCCTTGAGTCTCAGGGACCTTTGAAGCCATGGTAAGGATTTTGGAGTTTTAAGTGTCCTTGGAGGGCTTCAACCAGGAACCATGGCGTGGTTACCATGTGTTGAGTATACCTGAGTAGGGCCTGAGAATACCAGTTGGCTGACACCAACTGGTGTTCAGGCATTCGCAGAGGTGCACAGTGCCTGAGGAGATGTTTAGGGGCAGGGTTGGGCGGAGGGATTTGTAGCACACAGTAAAGCAGTGAGCATAGAAATCAAAAGGGCATGGGTTTAGTTAAACAAAGCTTTACTCAGCTGACGTGAGCAGAACCCCGAGTGTTGGAAGCTTGTCTACACTGCGAGCCTCTTGCCTTAAAAGTAGATTTATAACAGGGACCATCGGAAGATCCCATAGTTGTGTGTGTGCCTGTTTTCCACCTTATTTTTTGATCAGTCTTACTAGTTGACCTGGAACTCGATTACCATTGGCTGACTGGTTAGCAAAACTCCAGAGTCCTCCTGCCTGCCGGAGTCTTTCCATGGGTGCTGGGGGGGGGGTCCATACTCCACTTGTTATGCCTGCTCAGTGAGCTCTTCATACTGAGCTATCACCCCTTTCTTCTAAGGGTGGTTCTCAGGTAGCGCAACCTGGTAGCAGATTTGCTTTCTATCTGCGGCTGGTCTTGAACTCTTTATCCGCCTGCCTCCATTTCTCTAAATTTAATTTTTATACTTGATTGGTCTCCTGTTTTCCAACAACATGGAGTAAATTTTATCTAAAAGACATCAGCTTTCCGGTAAGATGGCTCAACAGAACACTGCTGCCAAGGCTGGTCATCTGGCACCCCCTGCCCACCCCCATAGAAGTGTAATAAATATAAAGGATGTTTGATCTTTAAGTCATTTCACAGGTCTGTCCTTGCAGCATGTTGGGTCTTTAACATGTCCTGGTTGAGCTAGCTATGTCTACATCCCTCTTGCTTGGGACCTTAAATTTCATATTGAAGGACAGGCTTAAATGGGAGATTCCAGAATGCTTTCGTCAGAAGAGTAAGAGAGTCCCTGTTACTGTTGTGGAAGAATAGCATTGCTTTTCTTTCTGGTGGGGTGTACATCCTTCCTAGTTCTCCACAGTCTAATGGTAGGAGTGGGTGGAGTCCTTCTTGGTGCTTTTGCTGTTGAACTACAAACTTTGAGAGTTGCAAGGGCTGTATCGATTAGTGACATTCGTTTTGTATGCTCAGAACTGGAGAAAGGATGTCTGAGTGGGCAGTAGGAAGGGAGTCTGTTAGTTTTCTAAGAGTGGATTCTCCAGTCACATAGTGGTCCATGGTTCATCAAAGTTTAGGAACACCAGTGTGATTTGGTCATCTCCTGATGGCTGAACGGATGGCTTAGCGTTTAAGAGCACTTACTGCTCTCCAGAAGACCTGAGTTTGGATCCTGGTACCTGCATCAGGTGCTTACAGCTGCCTGGAAAAGGAGCTCCAGGAGATCTCATGACCTCTTCTGGACTCAGGCACCCACATACATGACATTTGAACACAAAGATACACACATATATACATAGACAAAAAATAAAAATCTTAAACTGTATTAAGTATGACTTAATACCACGAATTTCAGTCTTTAGAACATTTAGTGTTTTGGGGGGGTGGTAGATTTCAGTCATTATTAAATTTGTGATTTTGGGGGATAACTTTAAACCACAACTTCACCCAGTTTTAGACTATTCCCACCATCCCCGTGAGATTCCTTTGTACTCCCTGCCTCCAGTCCCAGGCAACCACACATTTATTTTTGCTATAGGTTTGTCTTTTATGGATATGTCATTTAAATAGGATCATATAATAATGTGACCTTTGCTGTTTGGCCTCTGTCACATTGCATACTGTTTTTCCTTTCCTAGAAAAGTTGGAGGAAGTAGAATTTCATCCCATAACATTAACCCGATTAAAGTCTTCAGCTCAGTAATGTTTAGTGAATTTGCAGAGTTGTTCAGTCATCACCACAGCCCAGTTTTAGCGCATTTCTCTCATTCCAAAGTGATGGCTCACACCCATTTGCAGTAGTGACTCCTGTTCCGCCCCAGCCCCAGGCAAGCACACTTTGCTTTCTGTTTGTATGGATTTGCCCTCTGGACATTTCATGTGAGAGTAATTATGTAATGTATATCCTTGCTGTTTGCCAACTCTTTACATACTTGCTGAGGTTTACCCATGTCCCATTGCACGAAGTAACGGTATGTATAGTTCCTTCTTACTGGACACCAGTTGATGAGTATTGGATTGTTTCTGCTCCTTGGCTGTTTGGAATAAAGCTATTAGCATTCACATAAAGTCTTCTTGGAAAATGTTTTATTTTCCTTGAACAAACTCAGGAGTAGAATTGCAAGGTCGTAATAGTAAGTTTAGCTTCTCTCTGTAAACTGCCAAAATGGTTTTTCAGAGAACTCATACCATTTTACATTCTGATGCGTTTGTGTGAGAATTCCCATTTCTCCACAAGTTAGCAGTTTGTCTTGTCTTGTATATATGAATGTATATGTGTTCAAGGGAGCAAGCCCAGGACCTCACACATGCTAGCCCTGCCCTGTCTCTCTGGTTTATAGCCATTCTAGTGGCTATGAAGTGGTATCTTAGTGCTTTTCTCTCAGGACTAAGGCTGGTGAAAACCTTTTTATTTGCTTGCTTATTAGACTTTGATATATCATTAATATTCTTGCTTGGGTTATAATTTGGTACTTTTTGAGGCAAGGCTCTCCTCAGGAGGAGGCCAGGCTGGTCTTGGATTGTTGGAAGTTTTTCTTTCTTTTTTTCCCTGAGACAGGATATCACCATATAGCTCTGGCTGTCCTAGAACTCCCTATGTAGACCAGACTGCCCTCCAACTCACAGAGATCTTTCTGCCTCTGCCTCCTAAGTACTGGAATTAAAGGTGTTCTACTGCTTGCCTATAGAAATTTTGATCAAAATTTTTATTTTTTATATTTATTTATTTGTTTATTGAGACAGGGTCTAACTATGTAGTTCTGGCTGGCCTGGAACCTTGAGGTAATCCTTCTGCCTCTGCCTCCTGAGGGTTGGGATTATAGGCCTGAGTTACCACTCCTGGCTAAAAGTTTTAAATTTTAGTGAAGATTCTGTTTATATTGATTTTGCTTTTGGTGTATACATACCTAAGATATCTTTACTCAACATCATAGAAACTTTTTTTTTGCTATTTTCTTTGAGCATTGTGACTGTAGCTGTTACATCTGGGTCTGTGTGATACATTTTGAGGTCTTTGTACAGTGAGAGGTGAGGTAAACTACCTTGTTTTGTTTAAAGACATTGAGACATAGAAGAAGATGAGAGAATGGCTTTAGGGAGTCTTCTCTCTCCTCCTGTTATGTTGGTTCTGGGGGCTGGGCTCAGGCCACCAGGTACCTTTACCCTTTGAGCCACCACACTGCCTCCTTGTCCTCACGGTAAAATAACAAAACCCTGCCCTGGGAACATGATAAACATACGGGTTGGGATTCAAAAGACTTCCTTTTAAATAATTTTATCTTCTTAAAGATGTTTTTGCAAGCTTTAAAGTTTCCTATATGATTATTTGTAGGAGTTAGTACCCTCACAGTTAATCATTCATCAATTTAGTAACAAACTTTGAGGCAATTTCTAGTCTAGTGTTGTATTACAAAAGTTT